CAAATTGCTTAATGACAACAGAGATCTGTTGTGTCTCTGGAGCTGGAGCAGTGAGCACGGCTCACAGAGCTGGTGATAAACATATCTCCACCATGTTGGACTGGGAAGAGCCAAAAAATCAAAGCAGCCTTAGTCCTAGCCATGCTGCTTAGTATTTTAAGAAGTGCTCCTGGTCAGAAAATGATTGCTGATGCGTGATAAAGACAGATTCAGACAAAAATAAACCTCTGAACAGGTCACCATGTGTTCAAAAAGTGTATGTAAGATATAGACAGTTATAAAAAGAAGTAAAGCCTTTAAAGAGATAGTAAAAGTAATATAAAAGAGTATAGTCATAGATCAAAGGAATAAAGAAAATTAAGCCACATAAAGATGGAATATACTACACAGAGAGTCTGGATTATGTATGTTATTGTGTTTTCTTTGAATTTTTTGACTGCAGAGAAATGTTTGATTTTGGGGGCTGCTAAGGTAAACCAACATATATATTTTAAAGGTATCTTGACTTAAAAATTTAAGTCTAAGGATGTGTTACTTTGGAAAAGAGGTTAGCTTTTGTTTCCACAGAAGATGAGAACCTGTGGATTCCTTTCAGGCTAATTTGGTTTGATGAAACAAGACCCCTGAAAGGTCTCCATGAACCCCTAAAAATACTTTTCCCAACAAATAGTAGGAAGTAGTTTGGAGAAAACTATACCCAAATTCCAAAATTCCCAAAATGATTGTTTATAAATGTTTATTTTCATTAAAAGGGTTGATTAAAAGTGATTAATAGTTATAGTTAATTTCTCAAAAAAAATAGGATATGATATAGAAATGAATACTTTGCATTGGTATGGATCTTGGTCTATTAATACAAATTTAATGTTGATTTTCTACTCTGTTTACGGTATTATGTTTATACAGTTCAATTAAAAATGTAATGTATAATTAAAAATTACAGATTAATAGTCATTTATAATAGTCAAACTTGTAGTCATCTTAGTTAGGTTTTCTAGCTATACAAAGATATTTTTCAGTTACATAGATAATCTTCAACACTCCAAAGACTACAGAATATGGCATTTAAAATGTTTTAAGAACTTAGTACTTTTCTCAACAGTGAGACATGTCTGATTCTGGCAGTACCAATTATTTCAGAGAGATTGGTGAGCACTGAAGAAACTTGTTATGGAATCTGCCTTCAATGTGACAAAGCTAGCATTTGGGCAAGAAACTGCTCTTGCCTAGACTGCTTCATTCTATGCTATATGAGCTGGACATGCAGGACCCACAGAAACATGACTGCTGAACTTTCCAAATGATGGAATGGTCCTTCAGGGTTCCTGCTTCATAGAAGAGACTGCTAAACATTCTGCAGGACATAGAAGAAAGCAACTGATGAACTTTGTCAGTACAAGACAGAACAGATCTTCAAATTTCCTGTGTCACTGAAAAGTCTGCCCGGTATTATCAGCCTATAGGCTGAAGATGGATGCCCCAATGTTACAGAAAAACTTTGTGTGACTGTCCAGGCAGCAAGATGTCTCTGTCAATTCTAGAGTTTTGGAAGTTGCTTACAATGCACTTCCTATTTACTTAGGTAATATTATATCCTTTTGGGGTCTTTGGTGGAGTTGAAGACAGATAGTTATAGTTTTCCTTAATTATGATATAAGATAAATTAGATATAAAACTTTAGACTCACAAAGATAGGATAGATGATAGAATATTTTCTTTAATTTTGCCAGATATAAATAGACTAAATATTGCAACTGTAATTCTTGCTTGACCCGTTTTGTTATATGTAATATTACTATGTTAAAATTAAAACCTTTCTTTTTAATTAGACAGAAAAGGGGAGATGATATGGGATGTCTTTCTGTATATGTGTTGCTTTTATTAGTTAATGAATAAATCTGTTTGGGTCAATGGATTAGCAGAGTAAATCCAGGTGGGAAATCAGAGGAGAGAGAGAGAGAGAGAGAGCATGAGCAGAGTCAGAGAGATGCCATGTAGCTGCCTAAGGAGAAAGACACCAGAAAACCTTACTGATAGGCCATAGCCTTGTGACAATACATAGATTAATAGAAATGGGTTATTTTAAGATGTAAGAGTTAGCTAGGAATATGTCTAAGCTATTGGCCAAGTAGTATTGTAATTAATATAGTTTCTGTGTGGTTATTTGGGCCTGACTGGCTGGGAAATGAACATGTGGTCCCCGCCTACACACACACACACACACACACACACCAAGCAGCAGCAGCAGCAGCAGCAGCAGCAGCAGCAGCAGCAGCAGCAGCAGCAGCAGCAGCAGCAATTCATGCTAAATCTTTTGCCAAGTCCTGTGTTTCTTTATAAAACAGTCTTAACTGAGTCATAAGCAAAGCCTTATGTTACCCCTCTCCTACCTCCAGCCCTTCAGTAAGAAAAGGCTCCCTTGCATTCCCACTTCTTTCTCCCACCGCCCCATCTAGCCACCATCCTTTCCTTTATGCTGTAGTCTTCTCAGAGTTCAGCCTTCCACATAGGATGCTGGGCACGTGCAGACACATTCTCATGTACAGAGTCACAAGGCTTGAGGAGGGGAGGGGGATGACACTGTGCACTGATCCCACAAGATCCCACAGACTGGGACAATCAACATGAACTTACTCCTCACAGTCCAAGATCAAGGCACTGGCAGCTACTGAGGGTGGCAGGGGCTTCATTCCCCACAGAGGGCTCTTCTTTCCGCATTCTCACTCACTGGAGGACACACTCCCCGGTCTCTTTCTCAAGAGTACACTCAAGAGGGCTCTATTCTCATGACCTTGCCACCCCAGTGGCCCTGCCTCCTCCATCATCTTGGGGGTAAGATTTCCATATAGGGATCACAGCGAACAACAAACAGCCCATTTCCCACTTTGGATCTCCTGCCATTCCTGCACAACTGAGTCCTATTCAGAGTCACAGCTAACCGTAAGTGTGGCCTCCTTTAAAGGTAGTAACAACCCAAATGAAATGTCTTCCTAAGCTCTGTGTTCAATCACACGCCACTTGCACTTTCCTCGAGATATTTTCTCCCGTGTACTAAAGTACAAAGTCTTAACAGGAAAGACACTCAGCTTACACTTGTACATTGACTTTTCTTTAGTAAAATTACAAGTATTTATTTTGTGTGTCCGTGGAATGTGCACCACAGCATGTGGAAGTCAAAGGAAACACTGCGGGAGTCAGATTTCCCCTCTTGAAATGAGGGTTCAGGTGATCCAACCTAGGTCATCAAGCTCGGCAGCAAGCACCTTTACCTGCTGGGCCATCTTGCTGGCCTCTAAATTTATCTTTCACCCTTGAAATCCAGCACAGTTTCTGAGTCATGGAAACATGAATGCATATGGTCTGTGGTATTAACAACTCTTGCTTCTAACTAAGTGAGAAACTTTACAAATTGGCTCAAAAAGAGTCATCTACTTTGTTAGGGAAATCAGATCAAGAAGAACAAAAATGGCCCCTATGCCAATACAGCTAATATCTGTCATTTAGTTCCCTCCAACACTTTGACTTTTTAGGCTACGTGCAACTCTGCTAGAAGAAAACTCTTATGCTAAAAATTTACCAGATGACACCGATGCTGACAGTGACAACAAATGCAGAACCCCCAGTACCATCTGGTTCACCTGTTAGGCAAATAACAGAACTGGAAGGGACAGGTAAGGGAAGCGAATCGCAACTTTAAATTCACTCGGCAACACCTGCTAGACGTGTATGCATGCTGACTCTTAGTCACGAGCCACATCTGCGGAGTAATGGAATCTAGGCAGACAGTAGCAATGCCACCACCACCTGCAGGTCACAAGCTCAAGCATCAGAGAGCCACCCTGTAGCACATAATGGCCGTCTGAGACTCTGCTGGAAGGCAAACTCTTCTAGGGTCGTCCCGTCCTGTCCCGACATGAGCACAAGCCTGACTTACAACCCCAGCTGCCGAGCGCTCTCGAGCTCCAAAATGCTCCACTCTTGTCACTAGTCAAACCCTGCAAAGGGGACGGCCGCTCCTGTCACCAACATGCCACAGCTTCTGGAACAGAAACCACAGCCCGGGCCCTTCTACTCATGAACTCTGACTTAAAGAGCCCTCAGAAATCAAATCCGCCGCAAATAAAGATGAAATGCAAGGGGCCTTTGGAGTTCAAAGACAATTGTTTTGCTAGAAAGTTCTCTTTTTTTAGGAGTGGGAGTGGGGGATCTAGAAGCAGACAACTTCATTTTCTGACCTAAATCTTTAAGGGCCTTCTAAAGAGAGGAAGCTGTAAGATGTCTGAAAGGAAAGCTTATGGAACATAAGTAGCTGTCTGTCCATCTGACAACATGGGATGGGCCAGACAGCATCAGTGCGAAGAGCCATTCCGGTGGAACACGGGGCACACAGACAGGAGCAGTTTGTCAACCTTATACTCCTATGTCCTTTGGAAAGTCCAGGGCCTTACAATTAGCAACATTAGCAATGACTTTTTCCCAGAGAACTTATGATGATTTGAGAGGGATGGCATTTTTATGTTTTCATTAAGAAGAGGGAACTAGCACAGGCTATCCTATGCAGAGGGACTAAAGCCAACCTGGAGAATCAGCTATGACTTCAGATAGGTGTGTCAGGGAGAATGCTCTCAGGAAACACGGGATGGGATTACATTTACAAGACCTGCATACAGATAAGAGGAACTTGAAGCAGAAAGTTTAAGTGAGTGGCAGAGGCTTTTAAATTCATGGGGAAGAGACGTAAGTGCTCCCTCAAGGTCAAAGACTCAGTTACACGAACGGAGTGTGGAGTTTCTAGTATTTACAGAGCCATTTCAAAGAAAATTCCAGAACTGACAGGACTTGCACGTGATAGACTTGGAACCAGCTCCTGCTGGGTGGCTGGTCTGTGTTCCCTGTCTTTAATCTCGTGTGGTACACAGCTAGGGAAAAGGGTACCCACGCCGGCCCCATGGCAGGCGACATTCCTTGCTGGTGGTGGAAATCACGAAAGCATTGCCTACCGTGCTCCAGTACTTTCATGGGAAGCCAGAAGAGGATGAGGGAGTGGACCAAGGCATTGATACAGTGACCCCAGAAAACCTGCAGGAAGACAAACCAGGGGTCAGAGCGTTCAGGACTGGGATCTCGTGTGCAGCCTGTGACAGGTGAGGCATGGGGAAGGCCCCTGGTATGGTGGGGACCCTTCTGCAAGGGGTACTGCTAGTCTCACATAAAAAAAAAACTGAGATAAAACAAACAAAAAAAAAACTGTTCCCTCCTGTTTACATGTAGGTGGCAGGAAGATCTCCAGATAATATTACTTCAGGACAACCTGCATGGAGATGTCACGCAATGTACCCACATGTGAGAACTGAGCTTCAGTGTGTAAGAGGACACTTCAAGTCACTCAGAAAAGGGGGTATAGGTTAAAAGTGGGAAGCAAAAAAACCCAAATTCTTTTTATTTTGAAAACATTAAAATTTAATTAATGTATAAATTCTCAATTTTTTCGCCTTAATGTCTTTTTTAAAAAAATTTTTCTTAATATCTTAAAATACCCTAGTCATTCTTTTTTTTTTTTAAAGTCATCTTGGAGGTTAATGCCACACACACTAAAAAATTTTCTTTGGCACTTGGGAGGCAGAGGTGGGTGGATCTCTGTGAGTTCGAGACCAGCCTGGTCTACAGCTAGTTCCAGGACAGGCTCCAAAACCACAGAGAAACCCTGTTTCGAAAAACCAAAAAAAAAAAAAATTACTTTGGGGGCTGGCAAGATGGCTCAGTGGGCAAAGGTTCTTGTCACCAAGTTTGAGGACTTGAGTTCAATCCCCAGGAGTCACATGGCTGAGGGTTGTCCTCTGACCTCCATGCATCCACAGTGACATGGCACACTGCTTCCCAAGATACAAAATAAAAAATGTGAAATTCTCCTTTAATGTTTGCAGCATTAAACAAAAGGGCACAGAGTTCTGCTTATCCTTAATGAGACTGTCATGAGCCTTTTGATGCTTTTAAAAGTTGTTTTTTGAAGCCAGGTTATACATGTGCTGTGTTACCAAGCCCCAGGCCAGCTGAGATGATACTACTTTTAAATCCAGGAGACACATGCTCAGTGGTCTACAGGTGGCTGCAGAATGTCACGAAGGCAACTGAACCGCAGTTGGGAGCACCAAACGGCACGAGACATCACTTTATGAGAAAACGGGATTTGTCCCCAGTTTTATTTCCCTGTCGTTTTACCCTGATGACTGGTATCAGATCCAGTCCCCGTGTGTGCTGGGAAGACTGTACCCTTGCTCCTTAAGCTCAGCCCTTATGGGCTCACTTTTGCCCATCCTTTTCCTGCCTGGCATCTGCCCAAGGATAAGGCAGCCGTGACAGCCGACCATCAGTAGCATCTCCTCGGGACAGCCTGAAGAGGTGGGAGGTCCTCTACACCCTTGTAGTCCCTGCCCACTCAGCACCAGGGCCATGCTCACCATCTGCCTTCTCTGCAGAGGAGATCCATGGCTTCCCTTCAGGCCAATGGCACCGCCACTGTTAGCATGTATATATGGGCCCACCTTGGTATTCCTGGGCCCCTAAAGAATAATCTGTCCAGGTTGAGCATCTCTATTCTGAAAGTAGCAAATCCTGACTCCTCCCAAACCCAAAACTTGTTGAGTACTCGTTGACTATTTAGACATGATTCCATCTCTAAGACATATTATACAAGGCAAGTATTCCAAATTCTACCCTTTCCCTGAAAAAGCTTCTAACATGCACAACACTTTGAGTTCTGGGCATCCCCAGAAGACAGAAGGACCTTAGTTTGGATGCCCCGCTCATTTGAAAGTCAGAACTGGCCGTGCATGCCTTTAAACCCGGCACTGGGTGCTGCTTGGCAGAGACAGGCAGAGGAGAGCTTTCTGGACAGGAGGTCACCCCCAAAACACCCAAATCAGTGGGTTTCGGGCTTCATGAAGGATTCCGTCTCAAAAAATAGAGTGGAGAATGAGAGACACCCAATGTTCTCCCCTGGCCTCTGCATGCACCTGCATCTGTGTGCCCCTCCCGCCATGTGCAAGCATGCATGTACCTCACACACAAAATTAAAACCTGTAAGCTATGTTTGCAGCCAGCCTTAACAAGGGCCGCATGAGAGCATATGGCTGACTGTAATGAGAAGGGACATGGGATGCTGCTGCCCACAGAATACCAGAGCTGTGGGGAGAAGGCAGGAGACGCTGGCTGGACCTGAAGAAATTGCCTCTGGCTCACAGGATTGGATGTGAAGGGGCTGTGCCAGTGCCCTCTGTAAAGGACCGTTCATCTCACGGGAGGGTACTCAGAGTCGAAGGAGAGGCAGGGCTGTGCCTTTCGTAGGTGAGAGCTGTTTCATCACATCTTTTACCTTAGTGTTGAAGCCTTCTGCATTCTGGGTGATTTTGTAGAGCTGTGGAAACCTCAGCATGCTCTCCTGAGTACAAGACCTCTCAAAGATTCCCAGAGTGAAGGGCGGCAATGCGGTGAAGATCTATGTGGAGACAATAAGCCATTAAACACAGCCCTCACACTGCGCCAGTGTTTCAGCTCTGCGAGCGATGACTTAACTTCAAGTCCAAACCCGAGGCTCCATGATTCACAACTCCCCACTCAGCCTCCAAATAGAACAAAAGAAATAAAAAAAAATTAAAAATAACCATTCTTTCTTGTTAATCTATGTAAATGAAACCACGGAGTGCTAAGAACATAAATCCCGATGAGCTAAGAACTCAGAGGTGAACGGCTGCCCTCCTATCTAGAACCAGCCGTGATGGTCCTCACGCTACAGTTAGCTCCAGGAAGTGGCATGTTTTCTGTCAGAGCAGGTTGTACAACTTTTCCTCCTGAGTCTCTCTGCATGGTTTAGGAGGCACTGGTACCTCATTTACTGTGGTCACTTACTGTGAACGAGATAGGGGCAGACAGTGTGGGCAGCACTGAGAATTCAGACATTGCTTCAGCAAGGAAGAAAGCCCAGGAAGTTTCCGAGCCCCTGTGTGTACAGCAGAGGAGGTAACCTGTGACAACAGGGTGATGGGGATGCAACGGTGTGATGTGTGGGGACTCAGCGAGGTTGGTCAGCCAAGGATGTTCCTGTGCTGTTGTGAAATACGGACTCAGTGCATCAGAGTACGGGGCTTGCAGGGCACGGGACCTACAGGATTTGGCAGGATGATGCTGAGTACGGGGAAGGGTGCTCCTGGTGCCTCCTTTGAGATGAGTGCCCTCTAACACGCTCAGGCATTGACAACTTATTTTGGGGAAACCTGTAGCATGTGAAGGATGTACCTGGCTGGGGACACAGTACAAAGGTGAAAGGAGACCACAGAAACACTCTCTGGGGCACTAATCTTGGGTAGATAGAGTCTCTGAGGTGCCGACTTTCACATGCTCTCCTCAGGCGTCAGAGGGGCCCGTGTTTCTGTTTTGCAAAATAAAGTGAGATGATGGAGACGCCTTTGGAAGGAGTGAGCTGTCTCCGTCCCGGGCACGTGGGTCACTCTCTCACTTGGTCCATGATTTACCCTCTGTTTTGATGGAATCTCTACCCTCAAACCCAGTCAGCTCTGCAGTCATGGAATAGAACAAACCCCTCTAAGAGAATCCCAAACCTACACCAGTTACCTGGAGGCTGAGAGTCTGACCAATGACACACACCTTCCCCAGGGCTGCTGGGGTCAGCCAGGCCAGCCAGGCCAGAGACTCCCCCAAGTGCTGGGTTGATGAGAAGCAGCCCTGCGATTTCAACAGGCTACAAGGAGACTAGGAATAACTGCTATAACTTCTCTACAGTGACGGCAGCTGGTGTTTCATGGCGAGCAGAGGGCGTGGCCAAGGACTGTCTCAGCAGCTCCGCATGCATTCTGGGTTCATCTTTCACCTCCACTGTTCTGTATCTGTGCAGGCATTGTACACAGACCCTGCTAGCTTTCCCCTTTCTCTCTTGTATTTGAATCTCTCCTCAATACACTTCAGGCCCTCTCTACCCCTCATTACTGGGGGATAGCCAAGCAAGCTCTGCCACACTTTAATCCTACTGATAGCATCCCGCATTCACCTATGTAGCCTGCTTGGGGACATTTTTTTTGTAACAAAATGGAGACATTACACACACTTATCTTTATCATAAATTTTGCTTAACAATACATCACAGAAAGCTCTGCAAGCCTCTTTTTTTTTTTTAAAGATTTATTTATTTATTATGTATACAGTATTCTCAGTACTCTGCCTGCAGGCCAGAAGAGGGCACAGATCTCATTACAGATGGTTGTGAGCCACCATGTGGTTGCTGGGAATTGAACTCAGGACCTTTGGAAGAGCAGGCGGTGCTCTTAACCACTGAGCCATCTCTCCAGCCCTCTGCAAGCCTCTTGATTTAACACGAATGCAGTCTTTTTAGTGCTCTTTAGTGTTTATATAATAATTCACAGCAGGGATGTGCCGCACTTTTGAGTTATTAATCCATCGGCAGACATTCATCCTTTTCTGGTTACCACGAACATGCGGCAAACATTTATTATATGGTCTCATATATGCTTTGCTTTTATTGCATGAGAGGAAGAGCTGCTGGGTAAGGAAGGAAACATGTAGTTTGAATTTTATAAGATGTTGCCTACCTGCACTCTAAAAAGAGTACCAGCCTTTTGTAGCCCCCTTTGCAAAGAACAAGGACGACCTTTAGCAGGCTTCCTGACAGGCAGGGGTTATATGCTACGTTTATTATTCTCTTGTCTCAAAAAGTCAAGATATTAACTCTTCCTTTAAAATTTTTACACTTCCCTGTCTACCAGTGAGTCTGCACATGCTGACCATCTGGGTCTGCCTGCTTCGGCAACCCTCAGTCCCTCCTTGCTCTCCGCCCATGCTCAGCTGAACCGGGGAGCCCTATGGGGTCCCAGTGGGATCTTCCAGTTGCGTTCATTGTTTACCAGCTTCTTTTCTTCCCCACATGGTTCTTTTGAAACCTAAAAGTTTTCAAGTTTTAAGTGGTCAAAAAAGAACCTTGGACGGCCCACGTGGGGATGGCTTTCCCACCCTGGAGTTTACGTGTAGTTTTTAGGAGCCTGTGAGGGGAGTCTCATGGTTTTATTTTTCCCATTTAAGTCTTTAATGCATTTAGAACTTATTTTTCTATGAGGAATAAGCAAAGTATTCATTTTTTCCCCAGATAATGAACCAGATGTGAAAACACAATTAATTCACACTTTCCCACAAAGTTGAAGAGAAAAAAAAATCACCATTAGCACTTATTAGACTCTGATGTATTGTTTAGACTCTGGAAGGGGAACCCGGCTGTGGAGTCCCTGAGCCTGTGAGAAACACACAGTTCTTGCCGGTCTTTCGGGGTTGGTCTGATAATAAAGACTACAGTCTCGTCTACGTGTGCAGCGGATCTGTGTTCAAGTCCTCCTTATTTTCACTTATACTTTCTATAGCACCACACAGCTCCTCTTGCACACCCAGACCTGTTCACATTGTGTAAATGTGTACGCTAGCTCATGAACTGATGCTTTTGTAATGACCTTGAAGCCATCAGAGTTTGGCCCACGGACATGTCCATAGAATTTTGTGCAGTTGTACCATACGATTTTATTTTCATTCATTTATTTATGGTCTTATTTATGTTCTGTTTAATATATAGTTCAGTTCTGGCCATCTTAAATGTTGGGCTTACAAGAGGCTGTATTGGAGTATTACAGCTTTATGATCATCAGATTTATTGCTAACTTTTTGCAATACAAAAAGTCTCAGATGAGTACTAAAGAATAAAGTGTATCGCAGGCTGGTAGCTCACAGTTGTGACTGGGGGGCTTTGGTTTGATTTTACAAAACATGCTCGTTTCTAATATGACAGAGATGCTCATTCCAGTAGAATCCTTTCCCCACACTAAGAGTCAGCAGTAGTGTTCTGACTTACATGCAGCTTGACGTGGGCCGCCGCATTTGTATTAACCCACGATTCAAAAATCATCTTACTAACTCAATCACAAAACCATATGGGCAAATAAAACTTTTAATGTTCTTAAAAAATATTTTTAAAGGTAGAATTTATTCTGGACAGGATAAAAAGAATATTTAGCTCTCAAGTTTGGATTATCAGTATATTATTACAGTTTTAGATATCAGACTTTTTAAGTGTGACAGATACAAAAAGAGTATTACTGGTCAAATGAACAAAGTTTAGCTGAGTCTCTGGAGCATACAAATTAAGTACATTTTAAAAGAATTTGCTATGAATTTATGTTCTATTAACCATGAGAAGCTCAGGACTGAACGAAATGTTTAATCAGGTTGAATCCTGCATATGTTTCTGTTCTCATTTCTGCTATGTGTAAAAATGTTCAAATACATCACACAGACTGTCCAAACAACAACAAAAGCCCAGTACGTTTTCTGTTTAAGCCCTGGTTTTAAGTCTTTATTTCCTTGTTCTTTCTCAGCGGTCCTGGGGACTGCACACAGTGGGCATTCACTCTACATTGAGCTGGATCCCCAGCCCTGCTTCTGTTTTACTTTACTGTTGAATTCTGAGACATGTCTTACTAAGTGGCCTGGGCCAGCCTTGAACTCACTCCACAGCCCAGGCAGGTATGAAATTTACCATCCTCCGGCCTTAGCCGGACTGTGCAGTAGCCAGGACTGTGGGAGGTGCGCTGAGGCCTAGGTGACTTAGTCATGAGGACAGTGGGCCATTTCATAGGGATACCATAAAGTCGCAAGTATGTAATTTATATAAAATATATGAGCAACAGAATCATACTGTGCTACCTGACTGGTCCCCAAATCTGAGGCCAAATAATTCTCCCTGTCTCAGTCTCTCAAGTGGCTGGGACTTGGCCATGGGCTGCTCTGGCCAGCAATGTGCAAGTTTGTTTTCTGAAAGGACTTCTTACTATTTCTGCAGTTTTTAGGAGTCCATTGAAATAGAAAAAGGCTGAGATTTAGAATTTAGAAATAGCTCATAGACCTAGAATTACTGGCTACAAGGAGAGAAAAAAAGTCTAATCTGGCTCTTTTGGAATTCTCTCTATGTCTAGTAGTTTTTGGTTTCTCCTGGATTTTCTGGATAGACAATCGTAAATGACCGCATTAATGCGAGCATTCATTTGCAGGAGCATTGGTATAAGCATTGAAGCTGCTCATGATTTTCCTAGCATTTGCAACCCTTGTCTAACTTTATTGGTGGCTGCTGAGAACTCTAGGGTGAGGCTGAACTCTGCAGTGATAATGGCCGCTCCCCTGGTGATGGCCAGCGCCCCCCACCCCGCAGTGATGGCTGGTCCACCAACAGGGAGTTTGCTGGGGATGGCAGCGTGTGCAGTTTTGCAAGCGTCTGGAATCTGGCTGACTGGCTTCTGTGTGGCTGCATTTTTATTTTTGGCCAGGTCTTATCTTGGGAACACCAGCTGAACTACTTCAAACACTTGCGTGACACTTACTGATGGGACTTCATTTTTATTCATTTTAGTGACATAGTTAGGTTGATTTTTTAATTTGAAACTCTTGAATTCATGACATCAGCCTTGCTTTGTCAAATAGTTTACTTTTTTTTGTTGTTGTTGTTTGTTTGTTTTTTGAGACAGGGTTTCTCTGTAGCTTTAGAGCCTGTCCTGAACTAGCTCCTGTAGACCTGGTTGGCCTCGAACTCACAGGGATCTGCCTGCCTCTACTTCAAGAGGTGGGGCCTAGTGTCAGGGAACCAGGTGAGGGGTTCACCGGGGCTGAACAGATACAGGCTGGCCACTGTGGGACCTTCAGTTTCCTAGACTGTGATCATATAGAGAATTCAGTCTTGGATAGTATGCCATGATACTCAGAAATGAATGAAAATCCCTTCATGTTCTCAAAAGGTTTCAAGCGTCTAGTGGAAGAGACTGTAGGACTGCTGGTCTGGTGCAAGTAGAAAGACCTTTCTGACCAGCACCCCCAGTCCCCCAAGCACCCCCAGCACCCTCAGCTCCCCATGCACCTCCAGCCTCCCAGCCCCCAAGCACTCCCAGCACCCCCAGCACCCCAGGCACCCCCAGTACCCCTGGCACCCCCAGCTCCCCAGCCCCCCAAACACTCCCAGTACCCCCGGCACCCCTAGCCCCCCAAGCGCAGTCAAGCACTTCTATCATGCCCCAGCACCCACTTTAATACCTATTCTAGGACTCTGGTAACCTATGGTTGGTTCACCTCAGAACTGACTTATCTGCTAGAGTCTTCTTCTCTATTGGTTGGTGGGCACTGTGTACACAAAACATGTTCCCTACCCTACACATTAGAGGTCACGATGATTCCTAACCTTCCAGAGGCGACACTTCCTGGGAGCAATCGTTTAAGAAGATGCACATCTTGGAAGCACTCTCTACTGAGTGACTGAGGGCTCAGGAATCTGTGTTTTTAAAAACAAATCCTTGTTTTTCTTTCCTGTGAGTGGACTATGGGTCTTGTTTTGATCAACACTATCCTTCAGCCTCCTTCAGCCTCCTTCAGCCCATGGGGCTCAGGCATCCCCTAAAATTTCTTAGGTTTAATTTGAATTTTCTGAAGCTATCTAGAGCTAAGAAAACCATAACCTGATCATGAAAACAGGTTAAACTCTACTCATTCCATAGGGTGACATGCATCCTAGGCTGTCCTTAATGTTGAAGCCTATCCTCCAAGGAATCAGCCTCATGTCTGAGCTAGGTGTATGGCATGGGTTTCTATGTGGCTTCTCTAGCTATATCTACTCTCTATCTGTTATCTATCTATCTATCTATCTATCTATCTATCTATCTATCCATCCATCCATCTATCTATCTATCTATCTATCTATCTATCTATCTATCTATCTACTATCTATCATCTGTCCATCCATCTATCATCTATATGTCTAGTTTCTAGCCACCTCTAGTCTCTCGTCACTACACAAAAGTGAGGCCCTTGAGCCATGGTTGTGGGGGTGGTAGTTTGAGGAGAGCTTTAACACATTAAATTAGCTCTTCTCTCTCCCCGGAGCACCTTTTAGTAGATCTGCACAAGCATGTAGTACAGGTTGCAGCAGGTAACATGGTCCACTAACTGATCATCACAGTTCACCTCAAAAGCAGAACCCAGCCTGGCCAGTACCTGAGCCCACACACTTGATCCTTCTCACTGCTAAGTCCACAGGTCCAGGCCACACTGTGTATTCAGCATTTTATAGCTACTGAGAAAAGTGGGTTGGAGGATGTGGCTAAACAGCCACCAATGCATGCAGTACCACGAGCTGTTTTAGCCATACCCCTCACCCTCGACTCCATCTCCACCTCCCTGGGGCAGCTACTTCAGAGGTGAAATTCCATGAAGTGCAAGAAGCCAGGATTGGTGCACCAAGAAGTAGGAGAGAGCAAAGCAATTCAAGAGATGAGCCACTACAGTGACCCATAGATGGGGCACCATGACATTTAGCTACATCTGCCCCTTAGTTCTTCCTGCCAGAAAAACAAAACCCAGAAAACTAGGCATTTTAGCTTATACTTTATAGTTAATTTTGGCTTTTGTATGTATCCATCAAGTAATGAAAAAAAAAAACCCAAACCCAAACAAACAATAACAAAACTCAAAGACACTGCTGAGTGTTCTTTAAGGAGCTAGAAGTCAGAAGTCAAAGGTATTTCTTCCCAGAAGGGCAGAAAGCTCACTAGGTCGTATGCGTACATCCTTTGCCCATATCAATGCAGGACAGAAATTTTTACTTGAAAATGTTGCAGCAGCATTTAGCAAAGGGGGTAGCCAGGGGTCTATTACCAAGATATATGGGTTAATAATTTCACGGGGCTCCTCAAGAATGATCTGCCGTGATTGAAACCATGTGTGGAGAGTTTGGGCTTCTGCAGGATGTGTCGCAGCGACAAAGGCCCTGAAGATCTATTTGCGCTGCCTGCTAAGTACACAGATGATTGGCGTAGATACACTCCCCAGACATAAACACTGAAGGAATGCCCTGCAGTTCTGCATGCTATCAGACAGAAAGGGGGGGAATGCTTACCACATTGTACAAGCCGATGCACCAGCGCTCAAATAAGATCTGCCCAGAAAATCCATTAACAAAGGCGAACCAAAGCTGCAAGAGAACAAAGTTCGTCAAGTTTTATATCAATATTGACCTAAATGTTTCCACTCACTGGAGAAGTAGCCAGGAATGCGGACCACCAGCTGGACACAGCTGCCAGGAGAGACTGTGTGCCAGGACTGCAGCAATTATCCTTTCAAGGATTATAAATTCCCAATATCATAAATATCTATATCTTAAAGAATATTTATATTAAGGATGCACTGACTTTGGGAGGTCATATATGCCATGTTCACAGGGAAAAGAATTTATACCAAATACAAATTTATACCAGAAAGTCAACTCTCTGGTTGACTGAAAGAGACTGTACTTCATTCATTTCCCCCTATAAAACTGATTTGATAAATATGATTTCTCTTTGTAGGACTTTATTAAAAAGCTAAAGATCATAACTAATTAAAAACCAAGAAACACTTCTGTTGGTCATATATGCTTTTAGTTGACACAATAGTAACTTCCGTGATCAGCTGTCCTCTACCTCAGCAAAGGCCAACATGGGATGAGATGGAGCAAGCTTGAATCATCTTTTATGATAACCTGTGGGTATTGGTGAATAAAATGCTGGATTATCATTCATGAGCAGTTATGGAGCAAAGAGCTACACAGCAGACAGCAGATTAATATCCGAAATATACGAAGCTCTGGAAAAACTAAATGCTAAATGAACAAACACTTCCATCAGTGAATGAGAAAACGAGTTAATCGGTCAGATCGTTCTCAGAAGATGATGCAAAACGGCCAGTAGACACATGAGAAAAGTCAGCAACCTTAGCCGTCAGGGACATGCGGGTTAAACTACAACCTCAATCAGAATGATGGCATCGAGAGAATGAATGGCAGCTGTGGTGGCTGGAATGAGAATGTCCCCCAGAGGCTCACAGATTTGAGTGCCTAGTCAACAGGGAGTGGCTCTATTTAGAAGGATTTGGAGGTGTGACCTTGTTACAGGAAGTGTGTCACTGGGCTTTGGGATTTCAAAGGCTCTAGCCAGGTCCGGTGTCTCACTTTCTGCCTGCTACCTGCCTATCTGGGTGTAGAACTCTCAGTTCCTCCAGCACCACATCTGGCTGCATGCTGCCATGCTTCCCACAATGATGACAATGGACTGAACCTCTGAAATGGTAAGACAGCCCCAATTAAATGGTTCCCTTTATGACTTGCTGTGGTCATGGTGTCTCTTCGCAGCAACAGAACACCGACTAAGACAGCAATCAAAGCTGTCGAGGACCAGTCCTCTAGCAGAAAACTCATGACACACAGAGACTCCCTGTGGTCCCACAGGAGTCCTCTCCCAAGAGAGTGGTTTGAAAGAAAACGGCCCCCAAAGGGAGAGGCGCTAATAGGAGGCATGCCCTTGTTGAGGAAGTGTGCCACTGTAGAGGTGGGCTTTGAGGTCTTTTTGGGTCACATGTCCCTCAGTGTGACTTTCAGTTGTTAAAACTGTAAGCAAGTTTCTTCAATTAAATGTTAATTTGAAGAGTTGCTGTGGTCATGGTATCTCTTCACAGCAATAAAAAACTAAGACAGAGGTCGGTACCAGGGACTGGATATTGCTGTGATAGGCTGGACCATCTGTTGTTTGGAGAAATTTGTATTTTGGTACTTTGTGCTGTGAAAGCGGTGGAATGCTTTAAGCACTGCTTAATGGGTCATACTAGTAGGAGCATGGATATACTGCCTAGAGATCATTTTGGTGACTTTTTTGGTGAAGAATGTGACTGCCTTTTGTCCTTGTCTAAAGAACCTGCCTCAGGATAAAGTGAAGAGTTTTGGATTCATTCCATTGGCAGGGAAGAAATCTTAAAACGGTCTAGTACAGACTCTGTCGTGTAGGCATAGCAGTGAGTGCCTTACTGGCTGAATTATCTTTCTGACCCCCCCCCCAAAATGTAAAGTATATTAAAATAACAAAAAAATTAGAAAAGTATTTAAAGATACAGTAGAAGAAAAATTTCTAAAATCTCATTATGCAAATGGAAGGTGAATCCTTTGACTTAGGAAAGGGAAGATAGAAATGGAGCAGTCAGCACTCACACAGATGCTGACACAGGAGATAACGTGTTTATTATTTATTGACTTCTAATCCACAGCCACATGCATGCTAAGAACATGCTCTTTAACTAGATCTCTCCCCCAGCCTGAATTTTGAAATCTTATAAAATTAATGGACTATATTTAATGAGAAGAGGCCATTAACATGCAAAGGGACACGATGAAGCTGGCTTCCCACTTCTCCCCAGAGTGACATCAGAACAGAGGAAGGAGGCTAAAGTTTAGAAGACTTCGTGAAACAGTGTGGCCAGAACTTTAGCAAGTCACAAAAAATAAAAAAAAATAAAAAAAAAAAAAAAAAGAATCCAGCCCTGACAACATGAAGGGATGAAGGAAGTAATACCATCTGTCTGTTACATTGGTTAAAATTCAGATTGCCTAGCAGATAAAAACAAAATCTAAAACATGTATTCTAACCAAGAGAGACATTTTTAAAAGCATGGGAAAAATACTTAGAATAAAGTCAAATTCAAATTCCTAACCCTGTCCCACAAGCTAGCAGAACCAGAGCACACCCTGCTGCTGCTTCTTTCCCTTCCCTTCTTTTCTCCAGTCCCTCCCTCCCTCTTTTTCCTTTCCTTTCCTACCTACCTTCCTTCCTTTCCTTTTTCTTTCTTAATTCCTTCCTTACTACCTTCTTTCCTTCCTTAATTCCTTCCTTTCTTCTTTCGTTCCTTCCTATCTACCTACCTACCCTCCTTCCTTTCTTCTTAATTCCTTCCTTCTTTCCTTTCTTCTTTTATTCCGACCTTCCTTCCTTCCTTCCTTCCTTCCTTCCTTCCTTCCTTCCTTCCTTCCTTCCTGGAAGCAGCAAGCAGAGCCCCAGTAGCCCACTGCACTTTCTGCCTCTTTGCTCTGTAATTGTGGTGCCAGGAATGAACCCAGAGACCAGGCCAAACACTCCACCACTCAACTACATTTAAGACCCTCAGAAATTTCATTTTTAATTAAATATCTCCCACAGTTTTTAGATTTAGTCATGTGGTACTCAACACAAAAAAATGTTTGCTTTGACATTATTTGAAAAATAGGACCTGCATACACCACACAGTGATGGCTGTAGAGGACTCATCTGTTCAACAGGCACAATAACCCATCTAGAAGAATGCTATAACTCTATATGTGTTGACTGTCATAAAGCAAGCTGCTAGACACATCATGAAAAGAAAAGAAAATCAAGGTGCAAAACAAGGATGTCTCTTGAAAGTCCTGCACTTCAGAAGCTGAGGCAAGAGGATCTTAAACTTGGTGTCAGCCTAGACTCCACAGCAAGACACTATGTCTCAAAACAAGGAAACCAACTGACATAAAAAACAGACAAACAAAAATCCTTCAAAACAACAACAAAATCAAGGCTAAACCTAAAATCCCCTGAATCCAACAAAACTCACATTGAAAAGCCAGGACTGTAAAAAGGAAGAGCAAACTCAAGTACCCAGGACATCTTGCTGGGATACATCATGGATCTGATCAGCCATTATTGCTAGATGGTTCTTTCTGAGTGACTAAGGGAAGACTCACATGTGCTTGTCCAGTGAGACTCACATGTGCCCTTCCAGTGAGACTCACTCACACGTGCCCTTCCAGTGAGACTCACTCACACGTGCCCTTCCAGTGAGACTCACTCACATGTGCCCTTCCAGTGAGACTCACTCACATGTGCCCTTCCAGTGAGACTCACATGTGCCCTTCCAGTGAGACTCACTCACACGTGCCCTTCCAGTGAGACTCACATGTGCCCTTCCAGTGAGACTCACTCACATGTGCCCTTCCAGTGAGACTCACATGTGCCCTTCCAGTGAGACTCACAGTGCCCTTCCAGTGCTTTGAGCTTTCAAAACATCTGCACTTTATTTACACAACTGAGGCAGTTTTCAGCTACAGACCAGTGGCCAAGGAGGAGACATTTCACACTGTGTGGAGATCGTCTCCATAGTCACTGCCTGAAGGAGGGTGCTAATTGTCATGGAGTCTATTGAACCCCCTACAGAGCCTAGGCGCCCTGACAATGACCTGACTTGACCCCAACTGTCAGTAACACACTGGGGAAAATGCTGCCTATAGGCTAGCCTGGAGCATCACACTGTGACCACGCAGTTTCCTGAGGGACCAGCGTAGCACTGGAAGTGAGTTAGGCAACTTCACAAACGTGAGCCTACACACCGTCACATATTCCTAAAATAAATCACTGCAAGTTTACTTCAAAGAGCAAGTACAAACTTTGTGACCATAATACTCATACTGGTGAAAATTTCTAATAAGAAGGAAGGCAAAAAAATCTTAGTAGAGCTCTTGTCTCCTCTGAATTGACTCGGGGACAGTGATGGCGCTCTTCCTACCGATCACCTGGGGGGGGCACTTCAGAGCGAGGACTTTGATCACCCGCCCCAATCCCGCTCCCCCCTCCCCCAAGCAGCAGCAGCTGTTCCCACAGCTTGGCTCAGCTGGCACAGGCCTGCTTCCTCACTGTCTGGCTGGGCTGGCGCGCATTTTTATCATTTGCAGGTGCTGCCGGGGTTTGGAGTGTAAACAAACTCATTTTAACATTTTCATCTGCAATCACCAGTCACTGGATGATTAGACGCTGTATTTGATCAGAACTCTTTTTTGGGGGGGAGGGCGGGGTAGAGAAAAATGAAACCCAAAATACACAGAACAAGCTCCTCCCCCAAACCCATTCTATAATTTCACAACCCATGAGCGGTTTGTCCCCCCCCCCCCCCCCCCCCGTGAACATTCAAACTTGATTTCATTTTAGAAAAGTTTCCACAGGTAAAGGGAAAGTATGAAAATGTACTTTACTTTCAAACCTTTATACCAATGGACTTAGTTTTTATTTTATTTACTGGTGAGGCAGGTACATGATGCCTCTCTGACACACTATAAAATCAGGCTTTCACACCCCTCAGTCGTATACAAATGTTAATTCATACGTAAAA